GGGGACAGGACAATCAAGGGGGACAGGGCAATCAGGGGAAAGGGCGATCAGGGGGACAGGACAATCAAAATTATAGCATCTTATTTTTACATTTGAAAATATTGGATGCTTTCAAACTTTCAAATCCACTTTTCTCCAAATCTTCCAAACGTGGCATGCCAGGTTTTCCTGCTGAGGTCTTCAAATGTCAACAGTTTTATGGGGAAAAAAACTAAGCGAATGATAATATTTATATCATTATTTTTGTAATAATTTTTTTTTCTTTTTCAAAAATAAAATTTGGAACCCTAGGTTTATTCACTTCCTTCAGTTGTGATATTTATTATAATTTTTCATTATTATGCTCATCAATGTTGGCATAGGCAAAGCTGAATAATAATGCATAATTCAAGGGAATGGTAAAGTTTCAATTATCATTTTTGTTTTATTTTTTTTTTTATGTTTAACTTTTAAGCAAACTTAGGCCCTTTCAAACCATTCATTTCTTGACATTCATCATTATCACGTCCACAAACATTGGTATTGACGAAACAGCATGGGTGTGCACAGAGGCGTAGCGTCGTGGGGGCAGGGGAAACAGATGTCCCCGGGCGCCAGCTAGTTAGGGGCGCCAAAATGTGCTTTGATATTATTTTATTGATAAAAATAATGGGTTTGAGATTTGAAAAAAAGAAAAGGGGGCGCTTTAAAATGGATCTTGTCCCCGGGCGCGAATCTTGTCCCCGGGCGCGAATCTTGTCCCCGGGCGCGAAACACCCTCGCTACGCCTCTGGGTGTGCATGTATCACGGGTTCGTATTATAATTATGTAGTAGAGCTACTGCAGACATGTTTACTTATACCTGACCTATATGATTTTGGCGACAATTTACATGTCTTTTGCGATTGACCGTCGAGACCCGTCAGAACAACAATTTTAAGAGACCTGGTTAAAAAAAATTTCCCCACCAAAGGGCGGATGGAGGTTGGGTGCCGCAAGAAATAATGGCGTCACCAGCACAGAAAGACTAGTATGTTTTTTACTAGGCTAAATATTAATACAGTGATATCTTGCCAGCTATTTAGGTAAACACAAAGCATTAGTATGACGAAAACAGCAAAACATTGTGGTGATGTTTCTATTGCCTTAATAACATATATTTAGGTGGCAATTGGCTCTATAAGAGCCACAATAATTATTGTAGGTGTATGTTCAAGGTTGTAATTATATTATAAAAGCAAAGGGCACTCAAAGGTCTATTTTGCATGAATTCCCCTTCCCTCCCCCACCCCCCTCCCGCTTTTTTTTTTTTCACATACTCTCCTACCAGACTAATTTAAAAACACTTTAAACAAATTAAATTACTTTAAATTAAAATGGTAAAAACCAAAGAATTCATTAGATCAGAGGTCTCAAACTCAAATCATCCGGGGGCTGTAGGAGGAAGAGTCTGATTGAGACTTGACCGTATCAAGTGTTCCACACAAAAAGGGATTCAATATTCATTAAAATAAAACTGTTACAATTTAGTTTTTGTAACAGTTTTTTTACACACAAAAAAAAAAAATTAAGGGTTCTCAAGAACTAGGCTTCTCTTTCTTCCACCTACTCACTGTTGCCAGAAACCTGGCAGTGCTTCTTCTTACACAGCGGAGCAACATTTGGCTTGAGTGAGGAAGCAACTAAGACCCTCAGTACAGCTTGAAGATGCTCATCAGTAAGTTTGGCCCTGAACTTGGACTTTTTAAAGAGCATAGTGGAAAAGAGCTTCTCACACAGATTAGATACTCCCAAAAAGTCATATGATCAGCTTGAACAACCTGGAAATCTCAGAGGAAGTAGAGGGCCGTGCAATACAATGTCCATGCTTTTCTGCTTTTCCATTCACCTCCCTGCGCGGGGCATCTTGAACATTGAAGTAGAAAGGGTCAGCAAAAAGCTGCTAAAGTGGCTGTCTGTGTTTTTAAGTCTAAAATGTGTGATCAAATTCTTCCTGTAGCTTTGCAATGGCATCAGTATACTGACTATTAAGTTACTACTGAATGGTGTGCCCGAGTTCATGAGTACTTTGCATGTTGGGAAATGGCAGAAGTTTCTGTAAGAATCATAACTCAAGTTTTGTGCGGAATGCCCTGATATTGTCATAGGCAACACTGACAAGCTGCCCCTGGTCTTGTAACTTCTTGTTGAGTACATTCAGCTCCTGTGGAAGCAACTGCTTAACACCCCCCCCACCCCCACGCAGACGCCACTGATCTGGGCGCACAAAAAGGCATTGCATTCTCAAAGGAGAAATAATGTCATTCTTGAAATAGGCATCACATTTATTATTTATTTATTAAGACTGCATTTGGCCCTGTAGAAATCAGGGCATTCAATGCCAGTTCCTTGGACATGGCATTGACTGGTAACAGGTCATCGTTTGATTAGACATTTCATGTCAGGCCCAACATTATCTGTGGGCACTTGGTAGCAAAACAAGGTTGTCAGTTCGATTTCAGAAGAACTTGGACTGGGCATGCAGGGGGGAAGAATACAGAAGTCATTGACTGAAGGGGGAGGGTATGAAGGAGGAAGAATACAGAAGACATTGACTGAAGGAACTGGGCATGCAAGGGGGGGGGGAATACAGAAGACATTGACTTAAGGGAATGGGCATGCAATGGGGGGGAATACAGAAGACGATGACTGAAGGGATAGGGCATGCAAAAGGGGGGGGGCGGATACAGAAGATATTGACTTAATGGAATGGGAATGCAGGAGGAAGAATACAGAAGACATTGACTGAGGGACAGGGCATGCAGGAGGAAGAAGACAGAAGACATTGACTGAAGGGACTGGGGGCATGCAGAAGAAGGGAGATCGAACAGTGCAATGATGAAATCAGTGGAGCAACTAGAGTTTGTGACTCTCTGAGATGATCCTTCATTTTTGCCTCCCCATATTAACGATAACAACGATGCGTACAAAATACACATTGAAAATAAGCTTAACTATAAAGTAAATGAAGTGGACCAAAAATTATACGATAAAATAAGTGCCGCCCGGGGTGAACCTCCTCACCCCTCTCCCTGCGCCCATGAATGGAATTATATGAACGATGGAGTCCCCACAACGAAACATCACACCCAGTGACATAGCATGAAAATAGCCACATAAGGACATACACGACCGCCACACAAGGACATACACGACCGACATGCCTTGAAGCATGTGTGATCAAACAAACGCGGTAGTGTGTTTTTACACGCACACTGACGGTCAAAAATAGCGCTCAACAACATGTTTTTCTAAGTGTGCTACTTTTGAAACTATAATAACTTGTCAGGGGAATAGAACAACACAGTGATCACACAAATACTTAGACACGGGGATTGCATGTAGTAGTATAGTGACAGAAACTTGCATCTAACATTTTGTAAAATATTATATTACTGATATGTGTGCACTGTTTTATCAATGACACATTGGCGCATCAAAGACACAGGGGTACTCTACTTCATCACATAACTATAGTGGTACACTAATCACAGAGAGTGGCACACACTAGTATATTTAGTATAACAGACAACAGAG